AGCATCTTCTGGAAGACTCCAGACCCTCCATGTTATCGAGCAGCCAAAGGAAGAGACGTAGTTGATCTCAGGACTCACCACCTGCAGAAGTGCGAGGTAGCCCATTGCAACGTTATCAAAGTTGACCTTCACGTTGACCCAAAAGAACTTTCCAGTGTAGTTTTGACGTTCACATTCAGACATGTTAGTCACAGTAGTCCAAGGCACAAGGGAAAAGTCTTCATTGGTGGTGTTGATGCATCTCTGAAACTTCCCCGCGAAGAGGTTCACGCCCATGATACTGAAGATGAGCCAGAAGATGAGGCAGACGAGGAGGACGTTCATGATGGATGGGATGGCGCCCACCAGGGCATCCACCACCACCTGGGGGAAAGGAAAAAAGACCTGGAACCCCACAAACACCCCACCCTCCTTGCCAGATTCCACTTCCTTCTACCCTCATGCAGGCTACTTCATGAGCCAGTGGCATTTGGAGGCAAGAGAAGTGAGTTAATTAGAGCCATAATTCAAACTCAGAAGACTGAGAGACGCTGGGCAGCTGAAGATGGCTTTATAGCTTTATACCTTCTCTGTCAGTTTCATTCAGGGCAGGTTTCAGTTTCTCTCCTCAAACTTGGGGAAATGGACAAGTTTACATGTACATACATGCTCATTTAGCGGGATGAGGGCGTGTGTTGTGCTTGCACATACTAACTTCTAGAACCTTGCTTTCTTTTCCTGAAATACAATACACAACATATAGTTTATGGTGTGCTTTGGTCAAGAATCAGTGAAAACCCAAAGCCATGTTCACCATCTTGCTTATCTGTAAATCAGCAACCCAGAAATAAAATAAAAATCAAAGTGTTTCAATCATAAGCTCCTAGCGTTTGTAAAGATGTAAGTCAATTTTAGAACTCCACATTTGTTTCAAAGATATGATGTCTTCTTTGAAGCAAGGGTGGAGGAAGAAAGCAAACTTTACTTTCTGTACCAGGAGGCTTTCATAATCATGAAGAAGGGGAGGGGGAAAACTAGCAGTTCCTCATCCTCCCATAAGACAAGGGCCAGGCTTGTTAGCATTCCATCCTGAGGAAAACGGTGAGGGCAAGGCGGAGGCTGATAGTGAAGGATGAGGAAGGGGATGGATGAAAAGGGAGAATCCTCAGGACCAGATAGCTGCCCTAAGTTGGATAGAAGATGCATTCCAGTTGGTGGTGGCTGAGCTGAGGATGTCACTATATTTAAATGGCTTATCAGAGGAAAGACCCAGTTTTCATGGAAAGATGAAGAGCTTGGGTTCTGGAGATTTTCGGCAATAAGGACAAAAGGCAGGGTTGGTGGGGAGATTGAGGTAAGAGATGTTTGTGTAGCCATGAAGCAGGATCACATCACTAAGAGCAGGAGGGAGTGAGGCCTGAGTCCTGGTAGATGTGATCTTTGAGGTGAGAAGGGAAGAGGGCTTACAGACAGACTTGAAGGAGAACCGGGACTGAGGGCACTGTGGCACCACCAACATGACAGCAGGAAGTGGGGGCCCCAAGCCGACCTGTGGGGGTGGGGCCGGAGCTCAGGGTCAGCGGTGTTGAAGGCATAAAGAGGGAAAGAGGTACCACATTCTGCAGACCAGAGTGGTTTGGAGATAGGTCTTACCCTCATGCCTTCAAATCGAGACAGGGCCCGCAGTGGCCGCAGGGCGCGGAGGGTCCGAAGGGTTTTGATGGATTCCATATCAGAATACTTCATCATCTTCGCTATAAGGCTTGTCAGTGAGATCTGGGCGTAGACAGAGAGGAAAAGCATCACCCTAGGGATCCAGAAAGACAGTCCTGGTGGAAGCAGGCAGGAAACCCCTCCCACCTCCTACTCTATCGGAGCCATCATCCTGGCTCCCACCTTATTCCAAACTTCAACCAGAGGTAGATCAAGAGTCCAGTCCCTTCCCTTTCATAAAAGATTTCCTTCATCATCATCTGAATCTTTGAGCAAGAAAAACTCAGTCTCCCACATTGCCACCCCTGGTATGTAAGTGGTCAAGCTCCTAGTGTAGTAAATCAGCCTTCCCTTTTCCCTCTGTGGGCACCAGCCTGGTCCCAACAGCCTTGAAAATTTGACTGACTTTCAGAGACTTGGAGAGATGATGGTCATTCACGGGGGTTATACTGAAAGTCTATTTTGATGAATATAAAGTGAGTCTCCATTGTTTTTGCTTAAAAAGTGGAGTGGAAAGAGTCCTGGGCTGGGTAGGGTCTAGTTCCCCCCAAACCCTGATTTCATTGTGACGCTGGATCAGTGCCTTAATAGTCCAGGTTGTACTTTCACCCCCTATAAAATGAGGAGTCAGACTAAGAAAACTCCGAGGCCCTTATGGTTCTGCAGTTCTTCAGTAAGAATGACTGGCATGGGGCCATGAGATCCAGCTTTGACAGACAGCTGAAGTATAATGACTGAGTCACGAGTCCCTGTTGGTTGGTCAATTCTGCATTCTTCTAAGTGTTGGACCAAGGACTGCAAAGGACACAAACTGATATCGAAAAATGGTCCACCTTCCAGAACTTTAAAGGTGCCAGGGGATACCGTATGCGTTGGCTTAAGCTTGCCAGAGACTGTGACCCAATCCTGGGAGACCCCAACTGCACCATGACTGGTGGGCTGAATTCAGGCTCAGCTTAGCTTGACAGCTAGGTAGGGATGGACACCAGAACCTCCGAAAGGGAAGGGTTTACACTTGGGTACTAGAGCCTCAAACAAGGTCTGTTCTCTAATAGTGGCTTATTCCACCAGGACAGAAAAAAAAAAAAGTGGAATAGAAAGGACCCCCTTCCTTCATTCAGGCAAGGCTCCAGACACCAGCAGGTGGCACCCAGCTGCCTAGCTGACTGAGAATAGGAGGTTTGGGGCCAATTCCATGCTGGCCCCTGTTCAGTCCTTTGCTCAGCCCCTGGGAAGGCTGCCTCAAGTGCAGAATCTGCAGTTGGGGTGATCAGGAGCTGGGCCTCTCCATCAAAGCTCTCCCCTCCAAGCCCCATTCCTTTCCCATTGCTTAGGCCACTAGCCTCCCGATCGGTCTCTAGGTCCCAGTATTGCATCCATTCCATCCATTCCCCACTGCAGATTTGATTATGGTCATGTTTCCCTCTTTCTCCCAACCTTCACTTACGCTTTGTCATCTTCAGGATAAGCTCCAGACTCCTGAGCCAGTATTATATGGCCACAGCCTGCTTTTGTAGTCATATTTCACCCATATCCTCCCCGCAAATCAAATTATTCCCTAAATGTACCTGTGTCTGTGCCTTTCCCCAGGGTCATTCTTTAATTAAAATTGGCCACCCCCAGTCCTTTTTGCACCTTGTGGCTCCTATTCATTTTAAGCCTTACACAACCCCTAGAGTGGAAGGAGGCTCATGTCTCTGTGTCTCAAAGACACTAATTATTTCCAGCAGTGCTCACTACATCCCCCCTCATCATATGTTTATTTCTCTATGTGTGTCTTATCTGCTGGAAGATTAAAGTGTAAACTCCTGGGGGTAGGGAGTTTTAATTTCTTGGCTTCTATCTCTCCCAGAATAGTTCATAAAACAATCCTATATTCAGTAGTTATAAATAAACATTTGATAAATTGAAGAAAAGCTGGAAGCATGTTGGGATGGATGGATGGAAGGAAGAAAAGAAGGAAATGAGAAATCTTGATAGAAAGTTGAAGGATGGTTGGATAGAAGAATGAATTAAATGATACAAAGATAGATACGATAGTTGAAAGGAAGTGTGGAAGAAAGCAAGCAAAGAAGAAAAGACAAAATACAGAAGCATGGATAGTGGATGGAAGGGATGGATGGCTGGGTAATATGATTGATGGATGAGTGAAAAGGTAGATGTATAGAATAGACAAATGGAAGGGACTGGAGAATGGATGGAGGGTTGACTGGATGGATGAATGCATGCGTGGATGGATGAATGGACAGATGGGTGGAAAAAAGGAAGGATAGATGGATGAGTTAAAGGAAGAAGAGAAAGATGAAAAAATGAATGAATAGAAGGATGCTTGGATGGAAGATGCTTGAATGAGTGAATAGAAGGTTAGATGAGAGGATAGTTAGAAACACAAATCAAAAGGTAGGAAGGAAAAAGGAAAGGTGAATGGTTGGACAGATGGAAGGAGGGGTGTATGGAAAAAAGGGTAGATGATCAAAAGGAAGAATTAGTAGGAGGATGGATGGATGGATGAGTGGGTGGCCATTTCAGGTGATCAGGAATGAAACTAGTGAGACTTACTCAGGTAGGAGTGACTGTGCCCTTAACAGGGGTGGGTAGCCAGAATAAAACATTTCCCTTTTCTTATGAATATTTGATATACACAAAACTATCACCTCAGACTTCAGGCCTCACAGCGAATCCCTGTGGTACAGTGGCCTGATGCTGCTAGTGCACTGGTACCAGGAGAGAAAAGAATTGGGTGCACAGACCTGCTGTGGAGGGCCTGCCAACACAGGAGGCTGGACAGAATGTTCTGAACTGGACCCGGTCCAGCTTCAGGAGGCAAGCACCAAATACAGACACATTTCCTAACACCTCTGATGTGCAGACCTTGGCACTGGTGACTGCGGGAGTGTGGGAGGCAGAGACAAACATAGCACGTGCCTCCTCCTGCCTGCAGGGACCCTCAGATGTGCAGCAGTGAACAAATAACTCAGACAGCCACCCTGCAAAGCCAAGACTGCAAGGGCCTGGACGGATAGAGGGCTGTACGGCTAAGAGGAGGGAGCGACCACTCCTGGCTTTGGCGGCTAGGAAGGCTCCTAGAGACTTTACTGAGGATGGTCCCCTCACAGCTTTGAGGAAGCTCAAGTGTAACATGTGGGAGGCACCTGGTAAATCCCCTAATGCAGGGTTAGTGGACACATGTTAGTCTGGACACATGAGCTCCAGCTCATCACCTCTGCAAAGGGACCCTCTACCCCTTTTAGTGCCACTGAGGAGATTCCAGTGGTGTAAGCTCGGTGGTTCTCAATCTTGTCTGCATATTAGACGTGCCCAGAAGCTTTTACAAAATCCTGATGCCTGGACTCCACCCAGGATCAACAGTAAGACCCAAATCTCTGGGAAGAGTAGTGTTTGTTCACTGTGTTCTTAAGAGCTCCCCAGGTGATTCCAAAGCACAGCCAGGACCGGGGACCACTGAGTCAGTGGGAGGGCAGGTTCTCTGTGCTGGGCAGCCCTCAACATCCCTAGGTCCAGAAGCTCTGTCAATGGACATGAGGGCATGTGCCATCTTGCTCTGGATGTAAAATACAGAGGGCGGTAAGTGGGCTTTCTGGATGGAGACCTAGGAACTGAGGACTCATCTGAGGACCACCACTGTGTTGGAATCATGTACTGCCTGGACCTTATCATTCACAGGTATGCAGGGCTATCCTTGGACCCCTTGCTAAGACTTCGCTTTGGAGTAGGCCTTGAAGGCCAGGCCTCTGAGCTTCCTTTGCACCAGCTGCAGCCATCAGCCAGAGAAGACCCCAAACCCCACATGTGCCCACTGGGCCACTCACATTCACGATGAGGAAGTCCAGCCAGCACCAGGCATTGGTGAAGTAACTTTTAAAGCCATAGGCCATCCACTTGAGCAGCATCTCAAACACAAAGATAAAGGTGAACACCCTGTCGGTGTACTCCAGCAAGGCCTTCACCTTGGGCTTCTGGTCGAGGTAAAAATCTTCAAAGGCCTGGAAAGAAGGGAGCAAAATGGTAGGCAGCCTGAATCCACAGCACTAGGGTTTGGGGACAGGGAAGGACCAGCCAGCCCTGCCTGCAGCCCCGGGAGAGCTTTGCTAACCAGCTTGCCTGCATCATTTTGTTTTCTCTGCTCTGGGGAGATAGTGGAGGAGGCACTGGGAGATACAAACCAGGACTTCCTCGGAGCGGACGGGGACACACAGCCCTGCTTATACTTTGCAGGGGAGCTGAACACAAGTGAGAAAGGAAACCTGCTCGAATTGGATTCTGGAAGTGAACCAAAGGGATTGCTAACAGTGACTTGGTTTAAAAATAAAAGCATCCAAGGATGGTCTTCACGAAAATGAAAGTAAGACTCGCCAATGAACTCTGAAAAAGAATGCTCCATCTCACTGGTAATCAAGGAAATTAAAATGAAAAGAAGCTGCCATGTCTCTTTTGTCAGACTGATGAAGATGAGAAGGCATGGGTGAGGGAGAGGAGGGAACCCTCGCGTTGGGGTGGCTGAGGGGAAGCAGCTACTCCCCTACAGGGCTGAGGGGAGGGAAAACCAGTTCAGTCTTCTGGGAAGCCGATTTGGTAACATGACTCAAAGGCTTTAGAGACTCAGCAATTCTGCCTTCACACTGTAACTGCAAGTACTTAAAAAAAAAAAGCATGTATCCTAAGGACACTAGATGTTGTGAGTGCCCCACCCACATCCTGTTTAAGGGGCCAGTGTGACCATACCCAGCTGTGACTGTTGGCTGCCAGTAGCTGGTGAATGCCTCCATTGCCTGAGCACACTTCCCTGGGCTGAGGGGATCTGCCCCCGCTCTAGGAGATCATGTCACTCCTCTGGGGGCAACCAAGGCCCTCTGATTGTCCCCTTGCTTCAAAGTGGGACAGTCCCATGGGCCCTCTGGGCTTCAGAGCTCCCATGAGATCAGGCTGACGCTGGACCTTTCCCTGCTCTGCCCGCCTTCCTTCACATGCTCCAGCTCAGAGTGCACCCTCCATATACTGCACCCGAATTTCTGTGTCCTAAGACTAGACCTATGACGGGAAATAAGTCAATGTCTCCAAAGGAGTATATATAAGGATGTTCAATGCTTTTTAGAAGAGAGCTTGGGATGGCAGTTAAATAAATGATGACACATTCCTGTCATGGAATACTCTGCAGCCATTTAATGAGGTAGGACTGGATTACGGAGAAAATTGACTGAGAAATTACAGAATGCACAAATGCGGCTTCCGTTTTGTAATATTTATGTATTACATGCCTGAGAAAGATGGGAAGGAAGTACACCAAAATGTTTTCAAAGTGAGATTCACTGAGTGATAGGGAAATGGGTGATATTTCTTTCTTTGCGTTTTTCCATAATTTCCAAGTGGTTTTTTTTTTTCGCACTTTGTCAGATAAAAACTCATGCTATTTATTTTTTTAAAGCATACTCAAAGTAAAAGCATAAGGAAGACTAAATTTGGTGCCAGCCTGTTCAGTCCCTGGGGGAAGGAGATGGGGAGGTGAGGGAGAGCAGCTGGGGGCGGGGCCAGCAGCTGGTGATGGGAGCTCCCTGTGGGGAGGGAAGGGGAGGGAAGGAGAGAGAAGGGAGGGAGTAAGGGACAGCGGACAGGAGAAATGAGGAGAGAAAGCCCAGGGGAGCTAACGAGGTGATGAAGAAGGCACCTAGTCCACAGCACACATGGTTATATTCCCATTAAATGATCAAGGTTGTTTTCAGGACAGAGGGAAGGGCAGGTGTGGCGAATGCTCTGCCCAGCCTCCTCTTGCTCTGCAAAGTGGCAGCTATTCTGGGTGGACAATGGGCACCGTCAGATGCCACCATCCCTTCTCCACTCAGCCAAGATGGCAGATCAACCTGCTCCGTGCAACTCTCTTCTCCCTCGGCTTCGTGCTATCGCTAGCCTAGTCCTCCTCCCACCTATTAGCTCTCCAACCTCTTCTCACCTGCCTTTGCTCCTCCCTCAGGCTGAGACAACACCCTGAGCAGTTCTGCTCCCTTCCTGGGAAACCTGGCATTAAAGGTGGTGCCCAGGTAGTCAGTAGATTGTTTTCAGGGAATAAATGACATGTAGGGAGCAAGATTAGTGGAAACACTTGGAGCTGTGAATCAAGAGACGGCTCTAGTTCTCCCTTTAACTAATAGCTGGGACCCTGAGCAGCTCCCTCTGTGTCTTTGGGCTGTGACTTCCTCATCTATGGAATGTGGACAACTGGGGATGAGGAGTCCCTTCCTGTGTCTACATCTATCTTGGTTCATTGGGGAGATTGTTGAGACTGTGTAGTGAGCCTAAGCCATGGTGCAGAGAGAAACATCCTTCCTTGTCCTACAAAGCTGGGTGTTCAGCTAGGGGCTTAGGAATTGTCTCTTAACTCTGAATCTCTTGGCTGGTAAGGCCTTGTTATTCAAAGTGTGGTCTGTGGACGGCAGCATCATCCTCACCTAGGAGCTTGTTGGAAATGCAAATTCTCAGGCTCCAACTCAGCTCTACTGAATCAGAATCTGCATTTTAACAAGCTCCCCAGGTGCAAATTTTAAGAAGTCCTGTTACAATGATTTGCTGTGAGCTATGAATGAATAATAGCCGTATTTGTAAGTGGCTTGCTAGGGCAGGGAGGGATGGTCCTCTTTGTATTGGGCCCTCAGGAAAGGGCTGTGAGTTTGGGAGGCCAGAAGGTGGAAAGGTGGAAAGTCAGGGGCTTTGGGATCAAATGAGGGCAAAGTTAGGTTTTGGTACGGACAAGCTGGATAACCTTGCACAAGTCAAGTCCCCTAAGCCCTCTGAGTGTCAGTTTCCCCATCTATAAAGTGGGCTGTATACATGCATTGCTTGAAATCCTTGCAGCCAGTATATCAGGCACCTCAAACACCTGCTCAGAGGAGCTGGCAGGCTGGGCTGCAGCTCGACTTCCAGCCACACAATGGGGACTTTCAGCCCAGGAAGCAGGGGGGCCCACTGCTGCAGCTCTGGGGCCTTTGGATTGTGGGGGAACCCGCCTGGAGGGCTCTGGGGCAGGGACCCCACCTCCCCTTACTAGAGATCCACTGCTGAGCAGGATCATGAAGACGATGAAGCTCTCGAACCAGCTGTGCTCCACGATGTGGTAGCAGGTCTTGCGCACCTGCCAGCCCACGGTCCAGGGAAACTTGGTGACGTTCACTTTGCAGCAGGGATAGTAGCGAATGCAGCCTGTGGGGAGAGGAGACTGAGAGTGAGTGATGTCCCACTGTTAAAGGAGGAGTGTTTTTGCTTCAGCCTGGTGGGCAAACCCCTCTGCTGGGAAATCCACTGGCCACTCCTTTGGAAAAGAATTCTTTCCTGGAATAGGAGAAAAGTGGGGTCTCTTTCAGGCAGCATCTCCATCCTGCCCTTCAGGTGTTCCTTTCCCCTCCAGTCTTGCCCAGTCTCACCTCCTCCCAACCATCTTCCTCCCTACAGATGATACCAGTGGTCCCTGTCCTGGTGCCCGTCCTCTCTGGAGGCTTGAGAAGCCACAGGGCCTGGGCCTGGGGTTGTCTGAGGGGCTATGTTCTGAGCCAGTGCTGAACTGAAAGGTCAACACACGGCTGGGATGGGGTCTGGGTGCAGCCCAGCTCAGGGTCATGTGAAACTGGAAACTCATTGAAGTGTGTGTGTTTTTTTTAAATTACTTTTATGGTATGAACTATATGATTATTCATTTATTGCACAAATATCTATGGACAATACAACGGGTCTCACTGTTCTAAACAGCGAGGAAAAAGAAGAGTAAGAGGCAGGTCTGCCTTTCAGAGTCACACAAAAGATGGAGGGACACAGACGCATCATGGCCTGCCTTTGAGTCCTTTATGTCCCAAATCAAGAGTTTATGGCAGTGGCTGTTTTTCCCTTTGAACCTCAAGAGGGCCAGTTTATAACTCAGGTGTTTTCGAGGGTGATGAGGAAAGCACAGCCTTTGCTTGCCTCTGTGTCTGAGTGAGGCAGCCAGAGGCCCAGCTTGTCTGTCTGCTGTGGACCCCAGGCCAGGGCCCTGGACAGTGGTGGTGGGATGTTTGTGGAGCTGGATTCTGGCCCTCAAGCATGTCAAGGGGAGGAGGCCTGTGGCTACCACTCTACCTTCTGTGAAGCAGTCATCTGGTTCATCGAGGTCATCTGCCAGTTCGGGGATCTTCCTCAGGATCTCCTGGGGATCTGGGCAGTCCACGGTGCTGCATTCTGAGGAGCTCATGTCGTCCACTCCCTGCAGGGCAGAAGCCCTGGCAGTGAACCCCGCTCTCTGCAGGGCCCAGGAATCTGCACATGGTCACTGCAGGTCTGACCAGCCCAGAGCTCCAGACACAGCGAGAGCCCCTCAGGGCTGGACCACCACGGCGTCCCTTGTGTTTTGGTGCCTCGCCAGCTGAGCGCCAGAACAGCAGTGCTCTCTGCAGAGCCCCAGAGGTTCAGCTGTGAGAGGCTTTAAACCTCCAGGCCCCTGATGGAGTGCTGGCGATGACCCCGAGACACCGTAATTACACCCATAAAGACTCTCAGCCTTCACTGGGTTTGAATATTTAATCACGGAGCTATGCTGCAGGGGCCCTGCTGCCCTCCTGGCAGCTTCAGCCCTATCGTGTCTCCAGATGAATTCAATTAGGAGCTGAAGCTGCTCTCATATTAGTAAACCTGATCGCTTGGCTAATGGACCCAAGTGGAGGGGTGGGTCTCCATCTGTCACTGTCAGGCCCCTCCCTGCCTGGCCAGGGTCATGGACAAAAACAAAACAAAACAAAAACAATCCCCAGCAGCTGTGTACTGAAAACACCCAGTAGAGAAAACTAGCCAGAGGAGACCTTAGAATGCCCAGGAGAAACACGCTGTCCATGTGTAGAAGGCGGTAGCCCTCATCCTGCTGGACCCGAGTGGCTGGTGTTCACCCAGGGCCCTCAGGTCCCATCTCAGACCCCTCTCTTATCTCACCCCGCTGGGTAAGCCTTGCCCAGCAGCACACAGCCAGTGGCTGGCACTCCTCAAGCGGATGGGCTTGATAACTTTGGGATGAATTATGTCCTTCTTATCTTTGCTTTCCCAGTGCCTGTCACCGCCAGCACTCAGTGGCTAGGTGTCAGGTTAAATTCTTGAATTTAATACAGTGCTATTACACATGCTAAATCTTTATGGATACCTCTTTCAGTGTAGCTTTTTTTTTTTAAGATTTGTAATGAGACTACCAAGTTTACTTTTACCTTTTGTATGATGTTCCTAAACCCCGAATCTTCTTTCTGCTCAGTCTCTGTAAGGCTGTCAGCATACCGTTCAGTATAGACAGCCTCTGCCCAGTACCAGTCTGGTTTTGACCGGAGAAGACAGTGTGGACAAAAGAAAGCGGGGGTGGGGGGTGGCCACAGGGAAGACTTCCTCACAGGAACTCTGACTTTCATCTGTTGGCTCTTGAAAGATACTTAACTTTTCTCTGTGCATTGTCTTTTGTTTCCTTTTTTCTTGGCTGTCATTTTCTGGGCACTTATTCCATTTCTGGCAGGAGCTAAACACTTGACAAGCAGTATCTCATTTAAGCTTCAAAAGAATCCTACCAAGAGGCATTACTGCTCATTTTCACACATGGAGACACGGAGGCTCAGAGAGGTTGAGGAACTGGTCTTCCGTCCCCAGTTCATAGAACCTCACTCTTCCTGCTGAAATCATGCTGATTAGCCCAGAGGTTAAGGAGGACTTTAAAAATTTCCAGGAAGAGACATGAGGTTATGCGGCTGAGTGCGGTTTGGAATACCCGACCCACAGTCTGGACCCCACCCCCATCCTCCAGCCGCCACCATCCCACTGGTCAGTGTCCAGCAGACTGTTCAACCTCTCCAGGAAGCTCACACACCTACCTCTGCAGGGCCCTGTGCAGCAGCCTCGTCTTCCCGCTTCTCACCTAGGTTCGGAGCTAGGTCCTCAGAGGACATCCCAGAACCTGGGCTCCTGGGCGGCAGGTGATCCTCGTGTCTCCCAACTTGCAGCAGCTGCTCCTGCTAGTGAGAGAGGGTCCCAGCTTGGGTGCCTGGGCCCATCCTCAGCTGACTACTAAAGTTGAAGAGATCTTGCCCATACAATCTGCCAGAACCAAGGACCTAATATATGCAACTAACATACAGACATACATACACTTGGGTAGAGTGAGCATGGAGAACTCTATAGCCAGACAGATCTGTGTGTAACTCTTGGTGTGTCATCACTTACAAGCTGTGTGACCTTAGGCAAATTATTTAACCTCTCTTATCTTCATTTTTTTTTCCCATTTGCAAACTTGAGAAGGCCAGTTCTACTTCCTTTGGTTATTTTGATGACTTATTATGTTAATACTTGCAAAACACTTCCCATGCAGTGCTTGGTTTCACAGATGTTAGCCGTGACCATTATTACTTGTCCAGAGGTCAGAATTAGGCCCTCTGGAGACCCCAAGAACCCCTAAAGTTACTAAAAATGACTCTGAGTGGAGACAGCCATCACAGAGTTCATGTCCTTTATTCTGCGGATGGTGACGCCCTGCCCTCGGCTGTCACCCAGACAAAGGCATGTAAAATATGGCAGCTGATAACAGCAGCTGCTGGAATGCAAGAGAACTGACAGCTGCAGGGGAAGGAGGCTATGGAAGAGCTCCAGACTCAAGGCACTTAGTGGCCTGGCCAGCAGCGCTCTGTGCCCCCGGGCCCTACAGGGATCCCTGTCTCCCCACCTTGTGCAGATGTGCGTGCCCCGAGTTGTTGAGATGAGGTTAACTAGGGTTAATTTATCAGCTTAAGGTGGTAAGGAACTGTGCAAAGCACTTAAAAATATATATTACCAAAAAAGTGTGTTTTAAATTCTTTGGTGTCAAAGGAACAAGTGTCATTTCCCCGTGACATCCCTTGTTGCAAAAAGCTGGATGAATGAGTCACATAATGATCGGGACTCTTTCATCTGCTGGTGAAGATTAGACGAGCCTTGCTCTTGGACAACATCCCGTTCTTAGAGGAATCTTATTAGCATCTCCTGCACAGAGCCTGGCTTGGGCAGAGTGAATGGGGCAGCTGTTTGAAAGACAATTCCAAGCACCTCGAAGTGGCCGGGGCCTCAGACGCTGCCCCTCCACCCTGCTTGCCTGGGGAATTCTGACCCTTTCTTCCGGGCCCTGTTTAAATGCCACCTCCTCCAGAGAGCTTGGCACAGTTTGTGCTTCCTTACGTCAAGGGCTCTTCTGCCTTGCTGGCCTGGGGCTTCACAAGGCTGTGCCAGCCCTGAGGTTGGAAAACCTCTTTATCACAATCTCCCTACTGCCCCTGGTCACTCCAGCCCCGAGGGCCCTCCCTGCGTCCTGCGGCGGTGCCGTAGAACTCTCACCTGCCCTTGAGGGATCACTTGCTGCCGGGTGCTCCGAGCATCCTCCTCACCATCATCCTCCAGTTCATCAAGATCAGATTCACCCTCGGCAATGGGCACAGAGACCCATATGTTAGGATTGGTGATGAAATCACTGTGGTCATCCCTGGGGCCTCGGGGAGCCAGGAGTCCTCCAGGACTTCCCATGGCCGTGTCTGCTGCAATGTGGTTCTTGGCTTTGGTGGCGGACAGTGGGAGTTTCACCACCAGCTGGGGCTCTGACTTGGGCCGGGGGAGCAAGCAGGGTCGGCTGAGGAAGCTGCGAAGGGCCTCCTTGGTGCGACGGCTAAACACCTGGATCCGTGCAAGGGCCACCTGCAGCTTGTTCACCTCCCCATCCTCCTCTGGGGCTGTGAGGTTGTCGGCGCTAAAAGAGTTCAGGAGCAGGGCGATGAAGAGGTTAAGTACCTGAAGAGAAAGAGTGGAAGGGAACATCACTCAATCAATGAGCTGAGCCCCGCCACAGCCCACCAGGTCGGCAGCTGGGTGGCAGGACAGCCGCACCTAGGCTTCTCCCTGCCCACCCAGGATGCTTTCCCTCTTGGGGGAGTGGACACTCTGACGCAATTGAGGGGGTCCTTGGGGATGCCCCAAGTGACCTGCCTCATGTGGACAAGGCTTGGAAACACATTCTCCACCACAGAGGAGGATCACCTCTGCTGAGCAAAGGGACATTCAGGGATGACAAAGAGGAACAGGCATGGGCTTGCCCCAGGACTACCCTCATCATCCACACCCTGGGTTCTGTTGCTTATTCTGGAATCCTGGGCACATCTCCTGTCACCCATAAGCAGAGAGTGGGGACTCCCTATCTTTCAGAGTGGTTGTGAACAGGAAATGACACGAGGGATGTAAAAGTGCTCAGAGAGGCAAACTCCCTGCCTGAGGGCCAGAGGTCCCTGTGGCTCTGCAGGGATGGGGAAGTCAGCCTGGGAGAAAGGAGTTTCGTCCAGCCCCCTCCTCGGGAATGTGGGGAGAAGGCACCTATGGCTCAGGGACCCTGATGGGAAAGATTTTGAAGAGTCTGGATTTGTTGTTTCATCCCCTATCTTGGTATAGCTTTCTCTTTTCTGTAAAACTCTTATGGGCAAAGAATCTAAGTTGGTTGACTTCCAGGGCAATAAGAAAAGGGCTCCTGCAAGGCATGGAAGCAACCTAAGTGCCCATCAAGATTGGCTTGAGAAGATGTGGTAGATTATACACACACACACACACACACACACATACATACATACAATGGACTATTACTCAGCCAT